TTTGGCTCAAATCAGTCAAGTTTCTGGGACATGTGATTTCAACGGATGGAGTTGCAGTGGATCCCAACAAGATTGAGGCCGTGCTGGATTGGGAGAGGCCCAAGACAGTTACGGAGGTGAGGAGCTTCTTAGGTTTGGCAGATTACTATCGGAGGTTCATCAAAGGTTTCTCCACGATGGTTCTCCCTTTGAATCGTCTTACCCGAAAGGAGACTCCATTTGTGTGGACTCACGAGTGTGAGGCGTGCTTTCAAGAGTTGAAGGAGAGATTGACTACTTTACCTGTGTTGGTTCTTCCTGATCCTGAGGAACAGTTTGAGCTTTACTGTGATGCTTCTGGAAATGGGCTGGGCTGTGTGTTGATGCAGTCTGGTAGAGCTGTTGTTTTTACTTCGAGGCAGTTGAAGCCTCATGAGGAGAACTACCCGACTCATGATTTGGAGTTGGCTGCGATTGATTTTGCTTTCAAGATTTGGAGGCATTATCTATTCGGTATGTAGTTTGCGGTGTTCAGTGACCACAAGAGATTGAAGTATCTGTTTGATCAGAAGGAGCTGAACATGAGACAAAGGAGATGGATGGAATTTTTGAAGGACTACGACTTTGAGTTGAAGTACCATCCTGGCAAGGCCAATGTGGTAGCTGATGCTTTGAGTCAGAAATCCCTATTCAGTTTGACGATGGGTGACTTCGACCTCATAGAGAAGTTTCGAGATCTGAAGGAGACATCCTTGTTTGGGGGTGCACTTCTCGGATGGAGACTGTGAGAGTCAGGAATGAGCTTATGGAGAAGATCCACGAGGCGCAAGTGCAGAGAGAGTGTCTCGACTACGTGAAGAACCAAGACGGTGTGTCTTGGAATGAGGATGAACTTCTGTTGTTTCCGAAGCGTGTGGTGATTCCTCGAGGTCCTTTGACCGAAGAGGTTATGGCGGAGGCCCATAAGGGACAGTTTACTGTTCACCCTGGTGCTACAAAGATGTACCAAGTCCTGAAGAGGAATTTCTGGTGGCCAGGAATGAAGAAGGACATAGTTGTGTATGTGTCCAAGTGTTTGATCTGGCAGAAGGTGAAGATTGAACATCAGAAGCCGTCTGGTAAACTTCAACCTCTTGAGATTCCGGAACGAAAATGGGAGAGCATTTCCATGGACTTCGTTGTGGGTTTGCCGAAGACTCAGGTTGGCTGTGACTCGATATGGGTCATTTTGGACAGTGAGACGAAGTCTGCCCATTTTCTTCCAGTGAAGGTGAGCTTCACTACTGAGCAGTTGGCCAAACTGTATGTTCGCGAGATCGTGAGGCTTCACGGGGTGCCCGAGAGTATCATCAGTGATAGGGACCCGAAGTTCACATCTCGGTTCTGGGAGGCGCTGCAGGGAGCTTTTGGTACTCATTTGAGATTGAGTACAGCCTATCACCCTCAGACTGATGGAGTACTTAGCGGACTATCCAGACCTTGGAGGACATGTTGCGGGCTTGCACGTTGGAGCAGGGCTCGACATGGGATAGGTACCTTCTGTTGGTTGAGTTTTCGTATAACAACAGTTTCTATGCTAGCCTGGGCATGGTACCCTACGAGGCGCTCTATGGTAGGAGGTGTCGTACACCTACCTGTTGGTCTGAGGTTGGGGATCGTGAGTTGTTTGGCTTGGACTTTGTCCAAGATACCACCCTGCAGATCCAGATGATCAGGGAAAAGCTTAAGCAGACGCAGAATCGCCAGAAGAGTTACTACGATGTCAAGCATGAGGTATTCGAGTACTCCTCGAGGAGTATTCGAATACTCCAAGTTTCTCGAAAGTATCCAAATACTTTCACTTAAGTATTTGAATACCACATAGTATCCGAATACTTTTTTCCCCAGTATCCGAATACCACAGTATCCGAATAACCAAACCCACTGTATTCGAATACTATCCAGTATTCGAATACTTCTTCATATGTATTCGAATACTTTTCTTTCCAGAAAAGTATCCCAATACTCCTCCAAGGAGTATTCGACTACCAAGGGATAAGTATTCGAATACTACACGAAAAGTATTCGAATACTTATCAGACAGAATGCAGAAACTCGAGCATTCTTCTGTAAAATCCCATTTTTAAGGGTCTAAACGTGATTGGGAGTCCAACAACTCCCTAAACAGATATTCATTAACATGTTATGAACTCAGAAACACATTCTTTTACTCAACCGATCCAAGTTTTACCTTGTAACGGATTAAACAAGCTTAAATCATGAAAATACACAAAGGATGATCATGTTATACCTCTAAGCTCCAAAACTCCGAAAATGGCACTGACTTGGAGCCTCCAACACAGCTCCAAGGTACTGACTCTAAGGAACCACAAAAATGTACTACAAGGTTGGACCTTTACACTCAAAGGTGGCTCCTTGAAGCTCAAAATGTCAAGAAGATGACCCCTCACACCAAAACTCAGAAAACAGGCCTTAACTCCACCAAACCAGTGACCAAAAACTCAGAGCAAGGTTACCTACTCACCCTCAATGCCAACTACTCAGTGTTTACAAGGTTAAAGGTGGATTATCTCTCAAGAAAAATGATGTCTTGAAGGATTTAGTGAAGAAAACCCAATGGAACAGTGAAGAGGGAGGGAGGCAGAAGCTACACACACACAACCCACGCAGGAAATGGCTGAGTATCAGACTAGGGTTATGTGCAAGTTGCTATATATAGTCCACTTAAGTTAAAACACACAATATTAACAATGATAGTTACGCTTAGTATTTTAATCTCAAACTTTAGATTCTGAACCTAGCCATTTTTCTAGGATTTTTCATATTTTTATTTTATTTTTCGCAGTACCTTTTCGATATGCGCTTTTACATAACCACTATAAGTTCTGGTATCAGTTCTCATTATTTTGACTTGAAACTTGTTATGCTAGTCCTATATATTATTCTAGGACTATTCTCACTCTTATTATAATTTTCTGGGATACTTTATCGGTACGCATTTATACCGAGGAGCAAAACCGGTATCTGCACTTTTCATCAGAAAAACGACTTTCAACATTAATAATTACTTTCTATAATTATCCAAGTCATCTCATAATTATTAGGGTCAATTATAAAATTATTTTCTATTTCACATATTTAATTAATTAATTTTCTTAATTAACAGTGCGGATTCTTATAACTGTCCAGCAAAATCTAGGGGAAGGGCATCCTAAAGACTCTACCTTGACAGACTCTATTACTAAGGAGCAAACAGAGAGAGACACCCAACTGCTACCAAAAGGGACGAACTAGACAGGGAAAAGAAAACTGAACCTGCCACCTAACTCAAAACGTTTGCTCCATTATCACTTCCCAAGATCCTTCAACGGTCTCGATTGACCCGGTATTGTTGGCAACCTAGCAGTCGCTGGATGAAAGGCCTTCCAAATCCTTCCATCACGCAGCCCTAATTGCTCCACCCACTCACCAATCGCTCCACACAACATAGACCACGTCAGCAACACTCTTCACATTTTTCCCAACCTCGAGGACAAGTCTGGTCTTGGAGATGGGTGTATTGTAATCGGCCCAATCAATAATCCCAGTCCAGTTGTCAATAATCCAACAGATATCATTGGGCTTAGAGACTGAAGGAAGATACTGAAGCCCAAGCACTTATTAGATTACTTGGTGGGATAGTATAAACCAAGCCCAACCCTTTATTAATGTTGTTAGTATTTTAGCATGTTGTTTGTTTTAGCCCATGGTGGTAACAAAACGTAGTTTGTTAAATAGTCACGTAGAATGAATGAGCAAGATATGGTTTATGTGAATTCACTCTTCCTCTTCTCTTTTCTCTCTCTAGCTCTCCCCTGACTCTCTTCTTTCTTGATTTCCAGATCTCCCTAGTTACAAAGAATCATCCATTTCGCTAGGTACGCTTAGTTTCTTATTTATTTGGGTTACGATTATAAAATGTTATTGGGCTTTGTAGATTAATGGAGATTTAGATCTTCTTTCATGTCTACGGGGTCCAGGCTTGTCTATTAAAATGGGCCTAAACAGTTTTTGATTTTTTTTTTTTGACACCTAGTGACCTATATGTAATAATCGTAATTAAAACTGATTTTAAACCCTTAGTTCACTCACAACGAGGTGATAATATATATGTTCTACATTATAGAGATGTAAGAGAGAAAACCATTTTAACGTTTCTAAATGGGAATTGTGCCTTTCATTGTTAATGCACTTGAACACATATCATCATCTTTTGCGTTATTGTAATTTTAGCTTCAATCGGCAAACCAATTGTCGATTATGTTGGTCCAGGGGAGCTCATGGTGGGAAGAAATCTTCATTCATGAGCTAAAAAACAACGACATTAAGTGTCTTTGACACCACAATCAAATTTAAAACCTCAAGGCAGTAAGTGCATAAGTTCTTTCATTTATGATGATCACTTAGTTCATTCTCAACACATTATAATGTCGTCATTGTAGAATTTATTATAAGAATAACAATCTTCAATGTGACTTATCAGAAAACATAACCTTGAACGTGGTATAATTATAACTACATAACCATGAGTGGTTGAACAGCATTTCTCCCACAATTTTTAATACCTAAGGCTAGTTTGGTGATCCCTTAAAAATGTAGTGAAAAGGTGGGGTGAGTTTTATACGGAAAAATTGTAAAAATTATTATTGGAATAATAAGCTTCAATATGATTTATCTGATCGAAACATAACCTTGAACGTGTTATAACTACATCACCATGAGTGGCTGAACAGCATTTCTCCCACATTGTTAATACCTAAGCTTAGTTTGGTGACCCCTTAAAAATGACGTAATGAAAAATTGAGAGATGAGTTTTATTCGAAAAATTGTAAGATAAAAGTAGTCCCTCAATTTTATAATCCTTGTTTTAAAGGAACACCAAACAAACTACGTACATATTTCTCTGTCGGAGGACACACGCAGTTATTTTTCTTATACATCATACTATAAACGCAACCACGAATAGCATGATTATTGTATCCTCAATCTTCCTTCTTATAATCTTCACCTCTATAAGGGCTGAATACCTCTTTTATCCAGTTCTTCTTCCTCCAGGAATTCCAACCCAAATCTTCACATATTTCATCATTATGGTTGATGCTAAAAGTTGTAATGCAGTGCCTGGTATAGAACCTGGTCGACCTTTTCATTGCTTCCATGTCCTTAAATGTTTGTGAAAGCATCTTCTCAACACTCGGGAGCTTAAATTTCTTATCCATTAGTCCAGATAGCCACAAGGCGCGTATCTCTGAAGTGTACAGATTTGAAACACTCTCAACATAACCCACAAAGGCCATGTTTGGAATCAAAGGGTGGATAGTTCCCCTGCCATAAATAGAATTATTCAATTAAGGTTGTAAACTATGTATTTTTTAAAGTTCGAGAAATTAATGAATAAAGAATAAATCCTGATGTACAAGCCTTCCCAACTTGCCAGAAAAGGAGTGAAAGTCAATTGTACACAACAACAACATTAATATTAACAACACATTTATCCCAAACGTCGATGAATTCAGATGAGATTAGGAACAACCTTACTACTGCTCCAAGCCTCGCACTCAAAAAAATTAATTAATAAATTAAAACAATTCTTACCTGTATAAGGGCATGATACCAGAAGCGTACTCCAACAGGCTACGGAAAGGCTCTGGTAAAATGGTTTTGAGCTTCTTCTTTCCATCAAAACCAGTTGCAAGAATCACAACATCAGCTTCCATTTTAGAATTGTCTTCAAATTCAACTCCTCCATTCCAGAACCACCACTTTGATGCCTTTTTGAAGACAATTTTTCCCTTCTCAGCCTCAGAGAAGAAATTTTCTGGAGTGATAGCAATTTGACAAGATGCAAAATCTTCCACAAAGGGGTGTTCTGGTTTTAAACCATACTTCTCCAAAGGAAGTTTCCAGACCAAGTAGGACTCTATAAACTTTGAAATCCCAAGCCTCTGTTGAAGTTAATTGTAACAAAAAAGCATTAACGGCATATAGCTTTTGGAACAAGAGCATTTATTTTGGGATTTAGCATATGGTTCAGTTAGTTAAGAGCTTATTACCATCGGAGAAAATAGGAAGCAGAGAAGGGCTCTAAGTAAACCCTGGTTAGGTCTTTCGTGAAAAAACTGAGAAGATCTTGTTGCATAGAACATGAAAAATGGGAATCCCCAAATCCGATAATGGGGGAGTGTCCAATGCAAACTCCTTACAATCATGGTGCACGGTTGCCCTTCAGGTCCTTCGGAACAAGTTAGAAGCACCATTGTTATGATTTTTGAAATTGAAGAAATAAAAAATAAATAGAAAGGTTTGTAATTGTATAATTTCGCCTGCAACAAATTTTATACCACGAAAGCATCCAATAATTAAGATATTTATTATTATTATGAAATTCGAAATTATAAACTCATACAAACTATTGATTTATTATTTTAGTACAACAATCTAATAATTTAAAAAAAAAACACTTGAAAAGGCTTTAGAAAACAAAAAGACAGAAGTCATAGATAAGGTGTAATTATTTTTTATTTATTTTTTTGAAAATCATAAGGTGTAATTATTTAATACAATGAAGAATCAAGATATTTATTCTCTAAAATTTATTATACATTTAAAATTTTGTGTCAAATTCATAGAATATGCTTTTAAAATAGTCAAATACTCAAAATATTTGATTAATTAAATTTACTATTTTATCTGGTTGAACGATAAGACAGTCTAAAAATTTTAAAACGTTGACATAATTCATATTCTTATTTTTGTAGAGGGAGGAATATTTTTTGTTCATGTTTACTTCTCCAATCCTATTAAATAGTTAAATGTTGAATAAGAAAAAACTATACCTCTCTCTTGAATCATGTTGCTCTCTCCTTTAGCTGATTATAATTTTCAACTCAGTTGTAAACAATAAAAATAAAAATAAAAAATGCATATGAGTAAAGTCCTTGTTTAGGTTAGTTTGATGGTTTAGATGATGAAACGGGTTACATTTTGTTTTGTTTAAAAAGTTTTATGCTGAGAATAAGATTAAACATTTTTGTCTTAAAAAAAATTAGAGCGAAGGTGGCTGGCTAACTTGTTTTGAAATTAGGACGTACTATAAGTCACTGTAAAACTTGCAATGCTATTAATAGATCAACTACTAAGGAAATTGCCAGTAGTAAAAATCCAGCTTAAGCTTTTCGTGCCAAGTATTTCCATCTTTGCTGGTTGAATCAATCACCATTTGTCCATTTGCTTGATAGTGCAGGAGATTCAGTTAAAGAATATTTTAATATTTTGTAGAATGTGAAAAGTTCGAGTATCATTGGCACCTTATGATAATAAATAAAATATAAGTGAGATTTTAGCAATATTACTTATATGAGTTGAATATTGTGAAATATCCCTGATATTTGCACTATGATATTTTTGAATTACAAATATGCATATAATTTGGAAAAGATAATCAAATTAGAGTGGATAGTTACCTTGGTTTGCCTGAGCACACTCAAGAGCTAAATCAATAGCTGACTTTTTGTAACCAACCACCACAACTTTCTTTCCCTTGAGAAGTTCAGTAGTAGCTTCTTGGTCAAGTTTACAATAATCAATTGTATGGAGGACCTTACCTTTAAACACCTCAGGACCTTTGTTGCGTGGAAATGCTGGCATCAAGGGTATGTCCCCATATTTTCCAGTACAAACCACTACAAACTCGAAGGCGTACCTCTGAAATGCAGCAACCAAACCATGATCATCCCACATAAAATTAATTAATACATATATTGTGCTAATAATCAAAGCGATTTTTTTTTTTTTTTAAATACAATCAAAGCGACTTAGTTCACTTGAAATAAGACTTTTGATAGAATTAATTATAATAATTTATTTGTTTATTTTTTTAAGACTTTTCCACTAACTACATACTACTCAACTAATTCGGTCGAGTCAGGCAAGACCACAACCAGAAAAAAAAAACACTCATATTAAATTTTTAACACAATTACATACGCAACTCGAATTGGAGACACATTTTATTTTTCTTGACCATTACAAAAGGCTAATTAATTAAGTGGGTATGAAACTCCTCATAATCTTTAATTTCAATCAAGATCACAAGGAGAAGAAGGGATTAGATATTGTGAGGGAAGATGGAATTAATTATGTCATTTTATATTTTTGGTCATTAGTTATAGGTTTAATGTTTCTAGAATGAATGTAGATAAATTATCTACATTCGCTCTCAAAACGACGTCGTTTTGTGTTGAAAAATTAAAAAATTATAATGAAATAATTCTGAAATAAATTATAATTATAAAAATTCCTTGATTTCCGCCAATGCCAACCCTTATTATATCATGTTTACTTTTTAAGACTTGTTCTCATTTCTTAAACCCTGGCTATTTACCTAAATAAATATATGATCAGTTGAAGCTAGTTAAGTTGAAAGTGAATAAAGACCTGAATGGTGTCTGAATCATTGGTCTGAACAGCAAGTTCCCAAATAGGACGACCAGGAAGTGGGTTCCCATGGTCACCAGGTAACTTTCCAAAAACAGAACCTTCTTGCGGGTCCCCAACAAACCGGATTTCCATGACTTTGGAGTTGAACTTGATGTACTTGAGCACATCGTACTGCACAGCATAGGAATGCAAGTAATCCAAAACCTCCACGTGTGTAGGGAAATCCGAATTGTCTCTTTTAGGCCAAGGGAAATCACTGAACTCATAGTTCCATGTTTGTGACTGAAGCTTGGTACATTTGTAGGAACAATGCCTCCAAATCCCACCAATGGAATCAGTGGCCTCAAAAACAAGAGGGTTATAATTGGATAGTTGTTTTGCAGCGGCTATGCCACTTACTCCAGCACCTATAATGGCAATTTTCGTAACCAAAATTGGTTGGCTGTCAGGATTAGCCATGGGTTCTGAAAAGATAAGCTAATGGTGTTTGCGAGCTATGGTGTGTGCGTTTGTGGAATGAAAGAATTAATAGGATATCCCAATATATAGAATTCATGAAGTTGCCTTAGGAGGTCACTATCTAACCATCTGATTGTATTATTTTTGACGTGAACATGAAAAAATACGTAAACAGTTGGATTTGATATGGTGGAAGTTTCTGTTGGATTTGATTGGGTGATGGAGTTGTTAACGAGAATTCGGAAGGTAGCTAAAATAATTTGCCATAGTTTGGCATGTGACGTCGGGAAAGGGATATACAAGACTCGTACTTTATATTAGTTTTTTATTTTTTTGGAGTTAATGTTAATTCTTTTTTTTTTTGATTAAACAGAGTGCCTAAACCCACCAAATTAAGAAAAGAAAATAAACAAACCGAAAAAAAAAAACAACTACTGAAACAATTAATATACGAGGTCTTCCTTGAGCAGTAAAGTTAGCCAAGAACAACAGTTGAATTCTAGGAGGATGCTCTCTGCTAATGAAATAATCTAAATTCTCATTGTTATCCAAGATGAAATTTGTCATCCAATCGGCACAGGCATTCCCTTCTCTGAAAGTGTGATAAAATCTAACAATCCAATCTCTTTGCATCAAAGCTCGTATGCAGGCAATCAATTGACGCTCTCGAGCTGCTGCACCTAAAGAGGTGAGCACAATGACCACACTAGAAAAGTCACTTTCCAAAACCACTTTCCTAAACCCAGAATTCCAAGCTAATTCCAATCCCCGGAAGACACCCCAGAGTTCAACCTTGAAAGAACTATAAACACCTAACCTGTTATAAGAACCCGCACCGTTAATTAAGGAAATTAATTAATTAATTATGAGAAATTAGGAAATAATTCCATAATTGACCTTAATAATTATTATAAGGCTTAAGTAATACTGGTACGTGAATAATAATACTGAAAGTTGCTTTTCTGACGAAAAGTGCAGATACCGGTTCTGCTACCCGGTATAAATGCGTACCGATGGAGTATCCCAGAAAATTATAATAAGTGCATGAATATTCCTAGAATAATATGTAGGACTTTGAGTTCAAGTTTCAAGTTAAAATAATGAGAACTGGTGCCAGAACTGATACTGGCTATGGAAAAGCGCGTATCGGAAAGGGGCTGCGAAAAATAAAATAAAAATAGGACAAATCTTAGAAAAATGAGTAGGTTCAGAATCTTAAGTTTGGGATTAATATCCTAAGCATAGCTATTAGTACTAATACTATGTGACTTTGAGGCTGATCAACTCCCTCCTACTGTTCCATTTCTTCCTCATCCTTTTTGTGAGCATTGTGACCCATTTTCTTCCTTTTCTTTTCACTTATACCTTGTGTGAGTGAGAGGGGATCATTGTGAGTGTGAAAGGAGCTCTTTTCTGGTTGCTCAGCCTCTGGTTTTGGTTGTGGCGGGTTGAGTTTTTTTTTTTTTTTGGGTGTTGGGAGCCATCTCCTTGATTGGGGGAGCTCCAAGGAGTGATCTTTGGTGAGAAGAACCAACCTTTAGTGTGCCATTTTTGTTTGCCTTCAAGTCAGAACTGCAGAGGCAGTGTGGTGAGCTCCAAGGGCCATTGTTGCTCTGTTTGAACCTTGGGTAAGTGTTACCAACCTTTGATCATGAGTTTTAATGGGTAAAAGTGGAGTCTTGCCATGTTTAATGAGTTAAACAAGTAACCAACGTGATAACTGGTCTAAAGGAACTTAAAGACGCATGCTTTAAAGTTTAGATGTGTTAAAAATGGAACCTTTGGAGTGATATCTCGCGAAATGCAGAATCTGCATTCTGTCGCGAAATATCCGGATATGGGGTCTCTGATATCAGGATATGCATATCCGAATATGATATCCGGATATGGGATATCCGGATATGTCCCTGACATATATCCGGATATTATGGGTTTGCGTGAACAGTAACAGTACTGTTCATACAGAACTGTGTTTGGGGTTTGTGGACCCTAGATTGATTAAGTTGAACTTCTGTAATGATTAAACTAAGTCAGAATCAAGTAATTAAGGGCTTGTGGCTTTGTGAGAAGCCTAAAGACATGAAATGTAAAGGAAAGGCGTTATCTTTATGTCATATGCTTGTATGTTTGAATATTGATATGATTGCTGGTCCAAAACATATTGTGATTCTGCTGTGTTTGGGCTTTGAGCTTGGTTGGACTCTTGGCTTGGATTGTTAGCTTGCAAGGTAAGCTTTCGTGTCCTTAGTTTAGCCATTGTGTAGTTCCACCATACCTCATGGGGGGATGGTTTATATGCATGATGTGTTTACATGCTTTGATAATTGAAAATGTTGTTGAGCTTTATGTGCAATTGTTTATAATATGTATGTATTGTTCCACTTAGACGGTAAGCCTGAGTATGTGGCGTCATACAAGACGGTGGCACTGTGGGTGGGTGCAAGTGGCGTCTTGCACTAGTGTGGGTAATAGACGTATTCCTGCATTTCTCTGGCTAGTAGATTAGTTATAACACACATGACATGATTATCTGCTGCATTGCACTGATTTTGGAACTGATATTGAATTACTGCTTTTAGAACTTATATTGCACATGTAAGTGAGCTTGGGGTGGAAGATCCTTGAGGACCCCTTGTCTTACTGAGATTTTTGTTTAGAGATCTCACCCCACGTTTGGGGCACATATTTCAGGTTCAGGTAATGCGGGGGTTGAGACCTCTAGCGGTAGGAGGCCAGAGCTTAGATGATATTTCTGCTTATGCTGTTTATGTTTGGATGCTGGATGATATTTGTTGTTGTTATGTTATTAGTTTCATGTTATGGATCTTTGAGCTGAGACTCTGTTGATTATGTTCCTATTTGGTGAGCATGGGGATTGTCCATGCCACATTGACTTGACTTTATGTTTTTAGTTCGGAGTTGTATTAATGTATCAGGATATTGTCTGGACTACGTGTTGTAGATCCATGATTTAGATACTCACTTATTTATCTATTGAGGTATTTCAGTTAGCTGTCTTTTGCAATTTACATACAGGCGATGTTTTTATGAAATGATTAAGTAATCAACTTGGCTAAGTTTAATGACGTCATAATTGAAAAGAAAAAGATTTTCCGCACATTTAATTAAGCGTGGCTTAATACGATGACATGTTAACAAACCGGGTATACACGTGGTGTTACACCTGTAAGTAAAACCAGTAATCCAATTCCCTTTAGCATCCCTAACCCCCCCTCCCCACCCACCACCACCACAAGAAGCTTGTCCTAGATTGCCACGAAAAGCTCCGTCAGTGTTAACCTTAACGAAATCCTCCATTAAAAACTGCCAAGTAATATCAACAGTCATAAATATTTTTTCTGCTTGCATACCAACAGAGGCTTGCAAAGATTCGTGTACTTCTTTAACAAAATTACGAATCCAAATCTCCCTACGAATCAATGGAGTAACCAAAGCACCATGGACAGTTCCATTCCTCCACTGCCATAACTTCCAACAAGTAAAAAAGAGAGTAGATAAGCAGAAATCATGCACTAAAGTTCCCCTCCCATCACCAATGAAATTATGAAGCCACATTTAAAATCCTGAACAAAGAAAAATCCCCATAACTCCCATGAAGTAAACTTCACCACAAAGATTTCGCATGATGACAGTCCCTTAATGCATGAAGAATATATCAGACTGTGAATTACATATTGGACAAGAGTCATTACCACCATTCCATTGAGCTATGCAATTCATCATAAATCTACCATGAGCCACCTTCCATATAAAAAACTTAATCTTTTGTGGTCCTTTTTATGCCCAAATATTCTTTCAAACATTTCAATTTTCAGCCCTCAAACCCCTTAGTCTACTGATACAACTATAAATGTTTTTTACGGAAACAGCATAATGCCTCAATAAGTCCCACACCAAAACGTCAAGATCATCAACGCCAGAAGGGGCCAAAGTGTTCCTAAACTTCTCAATTACACAATCAGGTAGCCAACAATTCAGCTCTTCATAATCCCATTCATTTGAAACAATTATCCAATTAGCAACGGTCTTGGTCATATCCATGATCAGTTCATTGTTATTGAGATCCTCTAATAATGATTTTCATGAAATAACCATTTATCTGTCCAAAAATTAATCTTCTCACCATTACCAAGTTCCCAATAGATCTGAACCTCTTTTTCCTTCCACACCCTACACAAGTTCTTCCACAAATTTGAATCATCATTCCTAGATATGAAAGGACCACCATGACACCTATCAACCTCATATTTTGCATGTAACACCTGAGCCTAGAGATGATTAGAAGAAGAATGGTACTCCCAAGCCCCGTTAGCAATGAAAGCAGCATTCATCAACTCTAAACTTTTCAACCCTAAACCACCACACACCTTTGGCTGAAGAATGACCTACCAACTGATATTGTGATGCCTACGACAATTCTCCTTATCCCTTCAAATAAAAGCATGTTGCCTTTTCTCCAACTCTAAGCATATACTCCTAAGAATTTTATAGCTCAGCATCTAAAAAAGGAATAGCCACAGTGACCGAATGTGTAAGAGTAATGTAACACCCCGTATATATCCGGTTGTTATCATATCATCATATTAAGCCACGCTTAATTTGAAAATGCGGAATATCTTTTTCTGTTCAATTATGACGTTATTATCATTAGCCAAGTTGAACTACTTAATTCGTTTCATAAAACATCGCCTATATGTAAATTGCAAAAGACAGCTAACTGAAATACCTTAATATATAAATAGCATAAATGTTTCTCTAGTCACGGAACTACAACACGTAGACCGGACAACCCTGATAGTTTATACAACTCAAGCTAAAAGTACTAACATCAATGTGGCATGGACAAACCCCATGCTCACCAAATAAGGCAACAAATCCCACAAAAGAGTCTCAACTCAAATATCAATATAAAGGCAGAAAACATAAACAACATCCAATATCCAATATCATAAAGGCACTCGCATATAACAACTCAACAACATTTCAACAAATCAATATATCATGAAAATAACATCATGCATATAACCATACCCCCATGGGACATGGTGGAGCTAACAATGGCTAAACCGAGGACACGAAAGCTTACCTTGCAAGCTAACAATCTAAGCCAAGAGTCCAACCAATCTCAAAGCCCAAACACAGTAGAATCACAATCTGTTTTGACTAACAATATATCAATATTAATGCTTAACAAGCATAAGACACAAAGACAACGCCTTTCTTTTACGTTTTACGTCTTTAGGCTT